CCGAGCACAGAGTACACAGCACCGAGCACGGAGCGCCGAGCACAGAGCCGCCTTTCATTACAAAGGGCCGGGAAGCGGCTCCGAGCTGCCAGCAGCACTGACACCGTGCAAGAGGGGATTTTTCAGGCTGATGCAGCAACAAAGGCAGTTAAATCTAGCCAGGTAAGAGGCTTTCGAGGTTAGCTGGCTGTTCCCACAGCACAGGCTTTCTTTTCTTTTTTTTTTTTTTTCTTTTCCCCCCTCCCTCTTCCCTCCCTCCTTTTCTAGGGGGAATTATTTTTGGTAATCCATGTGTTGCTGCTCGTTGGGCGCTGGAGCAGAAGTAAGCAGGTAAGCGGCACTTTTATCCCCAGCCCAGCTTTCCACCACGGCCAGGACTCCAGTGAGGGGCTCTGAGCTCAAAGAAAAGCAGGGAGGCTGGGCCAAGGCAGCTGGAGCGGCGCTAAGCTCACAGCAGCTGGGAATTCCTTCTCTTTTTCCATTGAAATGATGGCAGGGGGAAGCTACCTGGAGAGGAGCAGCTTCCACAAGAAGCACCTGCTGCACTGCTGGACCTGTGTGTGCTGAGGGGGTTTGGGGTGCTGGCATCCACCTGGAGTCCCTCGTTGCCTGGCAGGGCACAGGGGTGCTGGGCATGGAAAGCCACCCGTGACACCCACGTCCATCCTAGGGCAGGAGGATGCTCCCTTCACTGCCTCTGCAGGGAGTCCAGGAGGTTCACACACCTCAGTGGGACATTGTGGAGACAGATCAGGATGAAGCCCAGACCCTGGAGCCTGTCGAAGGCCGGGAGGGTGTTTCTGAAGGGATTTGTGTTTTTGGAGACCTGCATGCCAGCCCCAGTGCTCCCTAGGGAAACACCCTGGGCTCCCCCCAGCCCTGCCAGGTGGAGGATGCTCCAGTGGCTCATCACCTCCTCCCAGTGCTTCACACCAGCAGTGGAAGGTGACAGGACCCTGGAGGCTGCAGTGAGCCGTGGCAGTGATCAGTGACTGTGCTGCCATGCAGGGACCCACGGCCCCCGCCATCCCAGGCTCGTGGCCATCACAGCGTGGCCACAACTCATCTCCCTGATGGAGCTCATCATCTCATCCTCTTCTGGTGGCAGCTCCTCACACATCAGCTGCTGAGCCCAGGAGCCCCTGTGTGGATCCAGCTGGGGCAATGGTGTTGCTCCATTCCCTGAGGATGCCTTTGCATCACCCCGGTGCCTTGCAGTGCTGGCTGCTCCTGTAGCATGTGCCCACACTGTGCTCTGGTTAATGGTGCAGCCACCACCAGGGTGCCCAGCACCCTGCCCAGACACTTGAACTCCGCCTTGGTGTGGGGTGAAGGTAGTTGAAAATCCCTCTTCCTCCCCATCATCCTCCTCTTCTCCCTGCCCAGCCAGTGTCCACCACTGCAACAAGATTAAACCAATTGCACCATTATTTGTTCCATATTTAATAAGGGTTTGAGGAGCAGATCTCCCAGCAAGCCCCTGCTATCAATCAAACCTGCACAGAGTCCCCCTTCGTGCCTGCCTTTCCAAGAAGAAAGAAAACAAAATTGGTCTAATTTATTATTCATTTGTTCATTAAGTCTGTATTAACCAGATATATTATAAAGGAAAACAGGATTGCGCCTTTTGATCAGTAAACCCTCTGCTCATGAATATCCATGAGGCTCCCCCCTGCCCCAGCACCTCTCCCGTGTGATGGAGGGGGCAGTGGTGGGTGCTGGCACCGGGCTGGTCCTGGCACTGTTCAGGGCTGGGAAGCTGCTCTCAGCTCTCAGCTCTGTCTGCTTGCAGAGCTCTGGGGATCAGCTGTGCCATCCCACGGCACTCCAGAGCTCGCCACTGACGAGTGCCCACAGCTGGCAGGGAGAGGCCAAGCCCTGCTGGGCGCAGGAGGCCGTGGGGACGTGCTGGGGGGCACTGGGGTGATG